CGCGATCGCCGGCCTTGGACTTGCCGCCATCGCCAAAGCAGAGCGGGAAGCACCGCCTGAAGAAGGAATGTCAGCCTTAGAGCTCGAAATTGCAACGCGCGGTGTCTTCGGAACAGAGGAGCACCCACTCCATGGACCAGCATCGCAACATCTCCACGGCATGCTACGTGGCACCGGCGTTGGCACCTTCGATGCGCAGAATGTGCCGCGCCCTTACACAAAGGAGAAGTTCATGGAGATCTACTCTCACCAGCACGACTCTACGAAGAAACTTACCGTGGCGCAAGAAGAAGAACTAGCGCGCCGCGAGGCGGAAGAGCTTGGGACACCAGCGAGGAAGTGACACTTGGGACACCATCGACTGGGGCAATGAGCCCTCTACCCCGCGACGCACCGTCTACGGGCCTGCCCCCGAGCCACGCGAACCAACCTTTGTCCCTGGAACCATCCCCGGGACTAATATTCCCTTCTCCGTAATTCTTGACAGGGAATTCTTGGCGGTGATGCTGACGACGACGAACGAAGAAGTAGAAGTTGAAGAGGCAGCGGCGGAACCTGCCCAAGTTCCTGACGAAGACCCCGAAGCAGCGCGCGCACGCTACATGCGCACCTCTGGATTCCGGCGCTGACGATGCCCTCTGGCACCAGCGCCTCGGCCACCCCTCTCGCGTAACGCTAAAGAACTGCATCGAAGCTGGTGTATTTGCACCTGGCGCACTCCTGCGCCCTGATGGCACCGAAGTGAGAGGCGCGACACATCCGCGCAACTGCACCGTCTGCTCCGAAGCTGCGCTGAGTCACCAGCCGTTCCCGCTGCTCGAACCTGGAACCAATCGCTACCCCAAGCTGCACAAGGTGTACAGCGACTTCCTCAACGTGGGGCACTGCGGAATCAACGACGAGCTGTATACGCTCACCTTCGTCGACGCAGGAACACGCTACGTCTGGATCATGAACGTGGAGACGCACAGCAGAGCGTACGAAGTGTTCCGCCTCTGGTTGGCACACGCGCAGCGGTAATCTGGGGAGAAGCTGAAAATCTGGCAATCTGACGGCGCAGCGGAGTTCAGGAGCAAGGAGCTGCAGGATTTTCTGGCGCAGAAGGGAATTGAGCATCATATTTCTCTCCCCTACGCACACCAGCAGCAAGGCGTACTGAGCGCACGAACCGTATGCTCATGACGAAGGTGCGGGCGTTGATGAAGCAATCGAAGCTTCCGCCAATCTACTGGACCTACGCAATGCACCGCGCCGTGCGGGTGCACAACTTGCTGTCAACCACGGCCATCACCGGCAACTCGTCGCCGCATGTGAAGTGGACGGGGACCAAGGGCGACGCATCCATGCTCCGCGTGTGGGGATGCATGGTGCAGTACCGCCCACCAACGTCAACTATCGGGAAATTTGCAAGCCGCGCGCGCTGGGGCATTTACCTCGGGATAAGCCATGAGCACAAAGCATGGCTCATCTTGGACCTCATGAGTTACAAGATCACGAACGCGCGCGATGTCATCTTCTACGAGCGGTTATTCCTCAAGCAATTTCGCGAAGACGAGCAGGCGAACGCGAACCGCGTCTACGCCAACAGCGGGCACAGCTACGCCTCACCTGAGGACGAAGCTGCAGCAGCCATTCTGGAGCAAGACACCAGAGGCGAGTTCACAAGAGGCGATCGCCGCAGCAGCGACAAAGACGACGACGATTCTCCTGGAGGAGGAGCAGGCGCAGCAGGCGGAACCGGAAGCGGCAGAGGCGCAGCACCGCCAGCACCACCTGAACCAGAAAACGACGATGACAATTTGTAGGAGGTCATCCCGCAGCACCGCCACGACAGCACTGTCTCTGGACTTCAACTTCTCGGGCTCCACACCGCCACCTCAACGGCGCCACGTGTCATCGTGGCACTCACGGGACCACACAGCAAGGAATGGCGCGAGGCAATGGATGCGGAAATCAAGGCACTTGAGTCCCGCGATACCTGGGTGCTCGTCGATCGAGCGGCAATCAAGGAAGAATTATTCTCTCCGGGAAATGGGTCTTCCGCGTGAAGACCGCAGCGGACGGCAATCTTGAGCGATTTAAGGCGCGCTGGGTCGTACGTGGCTACGACCAGAGGCACGGCATCGAATTCGACCAAACGTTTGCGCCGGTCAGCCGTCACACCTCCGTCAGAATCCTGCTCGCCATCGCTGCCACACGACAACTACCGCTCCGACATATCGATGTGAAGAACGCGTTCCTCTACGCGCTAGTAGATGCTGTGATCTACGTGGAACAGCCGCACACGTACGGCGAAGGAGATTCACGTGTGTGTCAGCTGCGAAAACCCCTTTACGGGATCAAACAGGCGCCAAGGCTCTGGCAGCAGTACCTGCACAACATTCTGCTTGAAATTGGGTTCAAGCAGCTGCCTCACGATCCAGGAATGTATCGCCGTGATTTTCGCGGCGAATACATCCTGCTCACGGTCTACCTTGACGACCTCCTCTACACAGGGTCGAGTAACGAACTGCTTGAGCAGTTCGAGAAGAATCTCGCGGGGCGGGTCGACATCACCTGCAACCATGACGTGAAGCAGTTTCTCGGTCTTAACATTTCTTACTCACCAGAAGCCATTCATCTCTCAGCAGCCAAGTACGCAGAGGAACTTGGCAAGCGCTTCAACATTGCACCTGCACCACTCTCCACCCCTTACCGCACTCCAGGACCCAACCACAAGCCTGACAACAAAGCCCTGTCCCCGGCTGGGCTTCAGACTTACCAGCAGCAGCTGGGATGCCTACTCTTCGCCCCGATCTCTCCTACATCGCGAGCCAGCTGGCTCAGTACTCCCACAAACCAACGGCTGAGAATCTCCTAGATCTTCAGCGGGCTCTCCAGTTCTTCATCTCCACGCCCAATGTTTAGCTCTGCTACTCCACCATCCCAACCGCGTTCTTCAATCTCATCGGCTACGTGGATGCTGATCATGCCGCTGACCCCGACAATCGACGGTCCAGGACAGGCTTCCTTTTTCGCCTCGAGCCCAGCGGCCCCATCTCCTAGAATTCACAGAAACAGGAGCTGGTTGCCCTGTCGTCAGCAGAAGCCGAGGTCATCGCAGCAACAGCAGCCGTTCGCGAGGGCCTCTACCTCCAGGAGCTGTTGCAGGAGGCGAAAATTCCTGCTTCGCCGAACTTCCGGCTGCACTGCGACAACCAGAGCGCGATCAGGATCGCGAACAAACCTGGATTCGTCAACCGCACCAAGCACATCGCGCTACGGTACTTCTTCGTCAAGGACGAAGTTGACAAGGGCAAGGTTGACTTGACCTACTGCCAGACGGGTGACATGGCGGCTGATTTCCTCACGAAGAAATTGCCACGTCAGCAGTACCGGCACTGCTCCGAACTCAGTGGAGTAGTCAAGCGGGTCAAGACCTGCTACGGCCAGGAGTGAGGGGGGGTGTTACGAATAGTAAAAGATGAAACATTACTGTGCATTCCTGACAGCAGCAATCGAAGCACGCAGTACCGAGTCTGAAGACGAAAAGGCGGAAGTGACGCGAAGGGTCGTACGGTTACGGAGCATCTGGACCGTCAGGGCAGACAACATCAGGCAGCAGCAGTGGCGAGGATTCTGCCCAGGCAGTCCGTAACCGTCTGGAGTCGCACGGTTGAGTTTCGCTGCAATAAGGGAATGTACCCCTTAGAGTACATGGCTAGCCTAGGTCGATTCGTATTCCCTTGTACTCTTATTTATTTTCCTGTATTTTCATGTTTTTATCATCTCAAGCATTTTACATTCACTCTGCTTTTGAGGTCAAGGGCCCACCACTACCAATCAGTTGTGTGCGAACCTTCTCGAGGTGATCCTAGGGACGATCAACTTTTGATCGCAGCAGGCGGGAACAGTCGTGTACGCGTTACGCAGGGGCGCGGAGTAAGGAAAAGGAAATTTCCTTTTAGTATCCCACTAATCGCAGTCACCCGCATTCATCTTATGGTTGTGGCACTACTGTAGAGCTGGTCAGTCAGTCACACAAGGTGCATTACATAGTGGTAACAGCCTACCCTTGTGGGCTGCGTTAAAGCACTGAGTGGACGCATAGGGTAGTAGGGGTTACAGGGAGGGAAAGCAATGCTTTGAGGTGCCTCAAGTTCAAGTGTGTTTTTTAAGCAGTCTCAATCTGGTAGAGGTTCTCTGGCACACTACTATGCATTACTGAGTTGTAAATTGTAACAAGCACAAGCCACTAAGCAAACACCTGGGTATCGGGTGCAGTGAAAGCAGGGTTCCAAATTTTAGGTGCTCAACGATTATGTAGCAAGGAAAGCAGGAGGTGGGGAGGATAATGAAAAAAAATAGGGGGACCAAGACACTGAGTAGAGCGCATGTGGGAGAATATAGCCTTCTGCAATCAATGATGCTATAGATGACGCGCTATATGACACCCGATACGTTTCAACCAACGCGCAGCACTCACCACATCGAGCAATAAGCCACCACTGGCATACATTGCATGTCCACATACAATCTGGCGCCAGAGTCAACGGCTGAACACTGGTTGGCAACCAGGGACTAAATGTATGCATACATATGGGAGCGCACCGCACCCTGTACACAGCGATTGCAGTCACTGTGGCCAAATGCAAGTGACACTCATAGGGACTGCGGAACATCGCACAACATAACCACTATGCAATGAACAAGGTCTTACAAGAAAATAAGAACCAGATGTGGTGCAAGTTATGTATACAACCATACTATGAGCACCGCATAACATATTGCAGCACTGCGACACGTCCCCTCCCCTGTAGACGAGGTCCGTCAATCTAACCACGGCGGCAACTGCTGCTGCAACTGCCGGCCCTTCCACATGATCCCCAGCATTGCTACCCAAGTGGACCTCGAGTGACAGGTGGGCACCCCACCGACTGCCCAGGCTCTGCATCCACGGATGAATCTGCAAGCCCAGAGCCAAGTGACCACCTGCACCATGCAAGCAGGAGGGGTTCCTCTCATGGGGCATGGGCGGCGGTGGCAGCGCGGCGAGCCAGGAACATGAGTGACGGGTGGGCCGCCTCCGCGTGCCTGCTGCCCCGCCCCTGCCCCTCCCCCACGCCTCGCTTGCCTGTCTGTGCACGCTGCAGCAGGGGCACAGGGGGCGGCCTGGCAAGGCCCTTTGTGTTGCCGTGAGGGGTGGTGGTGGTGGGGTGGAGGGGCACTGGCAGCTGCCATGCGTGTGGCGGGTTCATGGGGGGTTGCGCCTGCTGGGCTGCTAGCACGGGGCTTATGGGTGCAAGTGTGCTACGGGCATACGGGGCATGTGGGGCATGCGTGGCATGTGTGGGTACTGTTTGAACAGGGGGAGTAGCAGGAGCAGGTGAGGCAGGAAGGGGATTGGGAGGAGAGGGTGCAGCAGAGGGCAGAGCATATGGGAGTGCACCCCTTGACACATCCACGGCTGGCCCTGACTGCCCATTGCTTCCACCTCCCACTGTGCTGTTTAGCACACCCTCCCCTGACCATGCCTGTGATCCTCCTACTGCTGCCGCTGCGGCGGCTGCTGCTGCTCCCAGAGACTGCTGCCCTGTGCTCCCTGCACCCCCCACACTCAATTCCTCTCTCACGTTCCTTGCCGCCACTGCCACTGCCACCTTCTCTCCCACAACCCCATTCTCACCCTGTGCGCCCATGGCACTGCCTGTAGCAGTAGCGGTGACATGAGTGGCAGCAGCATTGCTTGTAGCATTGCTGCCTGCAGGCATGCCACGAATAGAACCAGTAGCACCTACGACAGTGGCACCCCTGACAGCACCAGCACCAATGCCAGCAGCAGCACCAGTGCCAGCATCAACAGCAGCAGCCCTGCCTGCATTGACAGCACTGGCAATGCCCTTTGCACCACGCCCCCTCCCACTTGCTGCTCCCATCATTCCCGCCCTCCCTGCACCAAACCCATCCCCCCCACCCGCCTTCCATCCCTTTCCCCCTAGCCCTCTGCCTCCATCCCTCCCCCTCTCATTCCTCCCTTTCTTCCCCCCCGCTCTCCAATCCCTCCCATCCCTCCCGTCCCTCTCGCCCTCACTGCTGCGCTCATAAGGGGGCGACGGGGTGGACGGCACCCATGAGGCTGACGAGGCATGTGACGCCCCTGAGCCAGCATGTGAGCCGGCATCCACGGACATTATGCCAGCCGACATGCGCCCGTTGATGCTTGCCACCTCCTCCACTCCCGCTCTCACCCGCTCCGCCTCCTCCCCTCTCCCCACTCGTCCCTCCTCGTCCCACTGTCTTCCCTCTGCCCCATAGACCACGCTTCCCCCACCTGCTCCCCCCATCTGCGCCATCCCCCATGCCACTGCTGCCTCCTGCGCCCCTTCCATCCCGCCCTCCTCACTCCCCTCCTCATCCACCACCTCGCTTCCCCCATTGACCGCTGCACCTGCTGCCTCCTCTGCTCCACTCACGTCTGCCTCCTCACCGATTTGGCTGCCCACACTCTTGGCCTCCACCCCTTCTTCCTCTCCCCCCACACTCCGCTTCCCCTCGTCCTCCCCAACCCCCCTTCCTGTCCATTCACGACGACCCCCCTCCCCGTTGTCCCCTCCCCCGCCTCCCTCCTCTCCCGTCTCTTCCTGCCCTTCCTCCACACTCTCCGAATCTCCCCCTTCCTCCTCGCCCTGCTCCCCTCTCTCCTCCTCCTCTTCCTCCTCCTCCTCCTCCTCCTCCTCCTCCTCCTCCTCCTCCTCCTCCTCCTCCTCCTCCTCCTCCTCCTCCTCCTCCTCCCCTTCCTCCTCCTCCTCCTCCCCACTCGCCTCACTAGTCATCATGCATTCCATCCCCACACCACTCTTCAGCATCCCTCTGAACCGAGCTCCAATGTCCACCATACCTCCTCCCACCGCTCCCTCACTCGTCACTCCCTCACTCCCTCTATGCGAACCACCACCACTCTCACTCGTCCGCGACACAGTCAAAGGACCACCGGCACCGTCACACACATCCGTCTCTGCCCCAGTGCCCCTACTTCCCTTCCCTGCCCCAATCCCCATCCTCTCCCTCTCTCCACCTCTGCCTCTCCCTCTGCCTCTCCCTCTGCCTCTCTCTCTACCTCGCCCTGCAGAGCCACCAGCAAGAGTGGCGATGATGGAGGCGGGGGAGAAGAGAGCGTTGCTGTGCACCGTCACATGGGGGATGGCTGGCAGGGCGACAGGCGCACGGGAGGAGGACAGGACAGCCGCAGGGGCACCTGGAATTGACCTTCTCTTCTCTTCCTTTATTTCCTCTTCCAATCTCCTCTCATCTTCCTCCCCTCCCTCCTGTTCCCCTTCCTCCCTTCCATCCCCCCCCTCTTCCTTTCCCTCCTCGTCTCCCTCACTCTCGTGCTGCGCCCAGCCTTGCGCTTGAGAACCCGTCCGCCTGTCTGCCAGCCCACCGCTGCCTTGCTGCGACTGCCTGGGTGCAGGCTGCCTGTTCACGGGACGTGCTGAGAGGTACAGAGGAAGCGTGGAGTGGCGTACAGGAGGTGCTGAGTATTGCAGAGGAGGTGCGGAGTGGTGCACAGAGGGGTTCAGAGGAGAGCATGGGTCGTCCGACGAGATGTCATGCCATGCTGATGTCAGCCCTGACGTCACACCCACATCCGTGGCCTGAGGACCATGTACCACCATGTTCTGATGCCCATGCCCATGCCCATGCCCATGCCCATTCACACGGCCATCTACATGCACATACCCATGTCTCCTCTCCACCTCACACTCTTGCCCCCCACCCACTGCGCGTCGCTTCACACCCCTTCTCCCCTCCTCCCCTTCACCACCCACCCCACTCCCCTCCAACTCACTCCCCTCTTCTCCATTCCAGCTGCCTCTCCGCATTTCTCCCCCCCTGCTCAAGCGCTCCGCTACTCCCCCTACCTTCCACCCTGCCCCCCCACCCTCACCACCAGCCCCTCCACCCCCACGCTCTTCATTCCCAGGTATGGTAAACGGTGCTGCCCGGCAGTCTGTGTCACTACTGCTTCTGCCTCTACCGCCTCTGCTAACGCTGCTACTGCTGCTGCTCCCGCTGCTGCCGCTGCTGGTGAGAATAACACTTGGGGTACTGTTGCCACTCGTGCTGCTGCCGTTGCGGCCATGGCGAGCAGCGGCACAGGGAAGCAGGGGAGGCGAGAGGAGCGAGCAGAGAGGGGGAGGGAGCAGGCGGCGCCGGAGGGGGGTCATGAGAAGGGCGAGGAGGAGGAGGGGGAGAGGGAAGGAGGCGGCGAGGAAGGGCAGGTAGGACCACCCGAGCAGCAGGCCGGCTGAGAGGCACTCCAGAGAGGTGAGACGGCGGAGGAAAGGGAGGGCGGAGAGGGGGAGTGGGGGGAGAGAAGGGCGACGGGAGGGATGGGCGAGGGAGAGGAGGAGGTGGAGGTGGAGCGAAGGGGGAAGGAGGAGGATTGCCATCTGCGGGGGGAAGAGCGTGGGAGAGGCAAAAGAATGCCGTTGTGAAGAAAAGGAGAACCAACCAGTAGGAGTCAAGGCGGGATGGTGGAACAAAAGGCGGGATGGCAGCAGGGAGGTAGATGGCAGCGCTGAGCGGGGAGCAAAAGACTGCCAGGACGCAACCTTTCTTGGGTGGCGGTGGGCTGCGCGAGTGCTGCCGTGTGGCTTGCTAGGCTGCACATGGTGTGGTACACAACACAACAGTGCGTGGTGCAGCCCACCGTATGGGTCAGCGATAAGCGCCACACATGCTCTGTGCTTCACTGCATGCACACACACACGCTGCCCACGTTCCTTGCATGTTTCAATGCTTCAATGCCACAAGACGCATGCACACAGACTTGCGCGTGCCCATGAGAGAGGCCATGCGCACGAAGGTGGGCAAACTCACCGCCATGCACGTGCCGATGAGAGGGGCGGCGGGCACGAGGGAGAGGATGCGAGCAGGCGTGGAGGGCAGGGCGAGCAGCGCCAGCACAGCCGCCAGCAGCCCCCCCACGGTGCGCCACTCACACACCAGCAACGCCAGGGGGATGGGGGGACGGTGTGGTGAGTGGGGCGGGCAGCAGCAGGGAGGTGTGAGGGGAGGTGAATTGTGGAGGGCAGTGAGACGAGTGGGTGGCGCGGATGAGGAGCAAGCCACCAGCGCTAGCCACCAGCAAGTAGGCAACACAAGCTAGTATCAATGCATCCATTCCACTAGTGCGTGGGAGGGAGAACAGTCACGACATAGGGGTATGGGAGCATGAACGAGATCACGGGAGAGAGCACAGGAGAGAGCACGGCAGAGAGCACGGGAGAGAGCATGGAAGAGAGCACGGGAGAGAGCACGGGAGAGAGCACAGGAGAGAGCACGGCAGAGAGCAGGGGAGAGGGCACAGGAGAGAGCACGGCAGAGAGCACGGGAGAGAGCACAGGAGAGAGCACGGCAGAGAGCACGGGAGAGAGCACAGGAGAGAGCACGGCAGAGAGCACGGGAGAGAGCACAGGAGAGAGCACGGCAGAGAGCACGGGAGAGAGCGCGGGAGAGAGCATAGGAGAGAGAATGGGAGAGAGCATGGGAGAGAGCATGGGAGAGAGCATAAGAGAGAGCATGGGAGAGAGCATGGGAGAGAGCATGAGAGGGAGCATGGGAGAGAGCATGAGAGAGAGCATGGGAGAGAGCATGGGAAAGAGCATGGGAGAGAGCATGGGAAAGAGCATGAGAGAGAGCATGGGAAAGAGCACGGGAGAGAGCACGGGAGAGAGCACGGGAGAGAGCACGGGAGAGAGCACGGGAGAGAGCACGGGAGAGAGCACGGGAGAGAGCACGGGAGAGAGCACGGGAGAGAGCACGGGAGAGAGCATGGAAGAGTTTGTGGGAGGAAGTACGTGCCTGCAGAGGCGAGGAAGGCCAGTATGAGAGCGTAGTGTGCAAGTGAACCGCGGATGTAGCCACTCAGAACATGCCACGTGGCAGCTCTGCTAAGCCACAGTGCAATGATGACCCCAGCCGCCGCCACACACACCGTCGCAAACGCCACCGCCTCCCCTCCCCCCACCTCCCCCGCCTGCCTGAAACCCTCTGCACCCATCTGCACCGCACCCACAAACAGCACCCCACTCGTCACCACTCCTTCCACCCGCCACGTGGCAGCACCCCATTGGTCCGCCACCCGGCACGCATTCCCCCCCGCGGCGAGCAGCAGGAAGACAGCCGCCCAGAGCCCCACCCACCCCACCCAGGGCAGGAAGGGCACCCCCAGCGCGCCACTCACCCGCCACAGCCCGCCCATGAGCGCTGCTCCCAGGGGGCTGGGCGCGGGGGCGGTGGCAGGCAGGGCGGAGAGCAGAGAGAAGAGGGTTTCAGCGAGAGCAGCGGAGAGGAGGGTGTGGCGGGGGGAGAAGGCGTGGCGGGTGAGCAGAGCGAGCAGCTGCCCCACGGCCACGCAGTGCAGCAGGGAATACAGCGCGCAGGGGAGGATGGAGAGAGCTGCCTGATTGCTGATTCCACACCCGCCCACGCAGGTGGCGCCTGGGGGAGGTGTTATCTGAGGGACTGGTAGTGAAGGATCTGGCTCGTTGCTGCTGCTGCTGCTGGGGGTGAGTGCTGGCAGTTGGAACACGGCGGAGGATCGTAGGGCAGTGATGACGTCATGAAACAGCCAGCTGGCGCCGTGCGGTTGGTTGGAAGTCCGCTGGATGTATCTGAACTCTTCTTGCCCCCCATGGCCCTCTCCCTCGCCTCCCACGTCCACCACCACGGTGCCTTCTCCCCCCATCCGGCTACCCCCCTCGTCTCCTTTATCCCCCTCATCCCTCCATTGGAGCCCCTTACTATCCACACTCATCCCTCCCCCTGCCCTTGCGTGCCCTCCGCCCGCCCACTCCCCCTCATCCCCCAGCCCTCTCCGCGTCCCGTCCCCTCTTCCCCCGCCTGCCGCGTCCTCCCTGCGCCCTGTGCGGAGGAAAGCGGGGAGGGCGGAGGGCAGCTTGGGCGCGCTGCTGGTCGCGGCGGAAGCGGAGAGAGCGGCGGGGACGGAGGGTTCGGCGAAGACGGAGGTAATACTACTAGGGGACGCGGGGGTGATTTCCGGAAGGCGGTGAAGGTGCGCTGACGGCGGCATCATAGGTGGCGGTTAATCGCCCGGCGGAAAACGAGCGAAATCCGCACGATCATTGCAGTCCAGTCCGTGCGATGAGTGCGGTTCATGAGAAGGCGACAGCGAGGAGGCACTCACCCCGGCTCGGTGTGCGGTGGCAGTCTGCGCTCCTCCACTGCCTCCTGCCATTCCCACTCTCTCGTCCACTGACACAACGACTCGCCACCAACAAGGGCCGCACAGCAAGAGGCGGGGGCAGGCGGCGAGGGGTGGGGTTGTGATCCGGGGCCTTGAGGGGTGACGGCTGAGATTCGCGCAGGAGAGGTCACTGCTGCTGAATGGACGACGAGAGATTCGCAAGTAGCCATTCGAGAAGCGCGATATGGGACGACGCGAGAGAGAGAGGGTCCTGAAGACATGCGACATGGGAGCGACACGCACAAGCGACTCAGCGAGTCACGACACTTGGGGATTGCAACCGCAGAGGAGTCGAGCCGCGGGAATTACCCGTCGGGGCGGCCGTGCGGTGCTGGCGCAATGTCGAATGTGTATCGGCGCGCAGCGAGTGAGACTCACTCGACTGGACGACGGCGAGCGACTAGGCCTTCGTGCGAGTCTGCGACGAACTGAGCGAGGCGGGCGCCGCGAGGAGTGAGAGGTGTGATGATGGTTGACGGGTGTGAGCGCGATGGTTCTTGGGAGAATGCGAAAGACCCATACGCGATAGTGGGTGGGTGAAATGTTAAACTCCTTAGCCCGAAATATGGTAGAGAATGTGTACTGATGTTACGAGTGCAATTAAGTGATAGAGCGAGAACTGCATGATCGAGCCAAACAATACAATGAGTGAAGGCATGAGCGAATTGTTATATTGCGAAAGCATTTCGGCAACGGTAATGCGCTTACAAAAGGGTGCCCTATGGGTCTGATGCCGAGGTTGGGAAATGTCGAGGCGTAGGACCAGGTCTCACATTACGAGCCGAGCCGGGTGGTTTGCGCACGAAAGTTCGTGGTGGCGGGAATAGCGTCGGGGCGAGTGTCGCGATCGCCGCGGGTATCACGTGCAGACGAACGACGGTGGCAATGAAGAGCCGAGCTGTTTCTTCGCCTGATATTGATTTTTTGCAGGCTGCAAAATGTGTCAATTTTTTTCAGCCGATCGACGACCACGAGGAATCTGTTAAATTATATTGCATATCCTATTTATAACTGCCTACAGCTTGCTGCTAGTGTATTACTTAGTTATAGAACCTATTGCTGGTGGTGTACCCTTTTGTCTTGCCTAGCCTCTTCCTTCTCCTATATCTTGTACTCTTGCCTAATATCAAACCCCTCCTTTTTGGCCAAACTTCTCCCTCCATGATTCTCCTTGCTAAGCCTCTCCAAAACCCTAGCTCCTAGTTAACTCGTTCTTCAACAGAATCGCGTCGTGCCCACTTGCCCCAGCCGGTAGCCCCATGACAAAGTCCATCGCCACCTGCTTCCAAGCATGCTCTCGGGGTGGAATCGGTTGCAACTGTCCTGCTGTGACAATTTCATGTGTTGACTAGTGTGATATGATGCCACGTGTTTTTATACGTCGGTGAGCATTTTGGGCCACTAATAAAACCGTTGCGACTGCTATCGTGTTTTTTCGACCCCGAAGTGTCCTAAGGTAATTCCATCGCGTGCCGCATGTAGTAATAATTTACGCATCAAGGAGTAGCCCGGTACCCAGTTGCGATCGGTGCTAATTTTGTTTCATAATCGTGGACCAGTGGGATGTTCTGGGCGAGTGATACAAAGTATATTTGGGCATTCGGTCGAGTCAGTGCGTCAACGATGTTTGAGGCACCCTTTTCGTAGGTGACCGTGCAATAAAATTTGGACTCCATAAAAAAACAATCACCGAATCTGTGGTGGGTTGAGGTGGGGCTGTGCCTGATCGGTGATCTGTCTGTATTGTCAGGTCTCTGTCGCTCAAGTTGCAGCGCCACACTTCGAACGCGTCCACGTTCGCGAACATTTCGCAGTCGTGTATCGGGTAATTTAGTCTCAAGCGGGTGAAGATTTTGTGACTCGTACACGATGTGCTACAGGACGTCCCTGAAGTTCTATGACAGCACTGCTCGGATGGCGATGTCGCTGGCGTCCGTAACTTTTCGAATGGGCGCGGTGTGGGTCGGCGATGTGTAAAACGGGTGGTGAGCACAATATACTTTTTAAGGCAGAGAAGGCATCATGCTCTTCCATCCCCCCCCACATAAAAGCGACCCCCTTCCGCTGCAAGTCCGTGAGTGGGGCAGTCAATTCGACCATGTTGGGGACGAACCCTCGCACATGATTAACTAACCCAGAAATACTCTATAGCTCCGTGATATTCGTTAGGGTCAATTTCAACTCCAGCCTCCGAGCTGACATGGCCTAAAAACTCACACTTGGAGCCCTTCGATAATAGCAGATGCTTGTCAAAATATTTATATAATGCTTCTAGGCCGGCTAAATGCTGTTGATCGTCCTGTCTGTAACCAGGAGGTCACCAAGGTAGAACATGACGCACCTATATAAAACTGGTCTGAAAGCCTTGTTCATTGTGACTTGGAAATCTACGGGTGCATTGGTCAACTCGAAAGGCATCACAGTGTACTCGAATGACCCGTATATAGTTCTAAAAGCTGTTTTGTCGCAGTCCGTCCATTCGACACGGATCTGATGGTAACCGTTGCTTACATCAAATTCGGAAAAGAGCCCTAGCTATTCGCAGCTGGCCAATCAGTTCGTCGGCGCGGGGGATGGGATATCGCGACTTGACTGTAACCCAGTGTAGTGCTCGGTATGCATTTGCGAAAATATTCCAAATTTTCGGTATGAACAGTATTGGGGCGGCGAACGGCGACATACTCGGTAGAATGATTTATTTATATTTTCTCGAGTAAGTAGTCCAACTCCAGCTCGGGTTGTGTTAGTCGAAACTGTCACTATACGGTTGGCTGTACTCCTGGTTCTAACTCGGTTTTGTGATCGTGTGGTTGCTGAGGTTGAAGTCCCTCGAGTAAGTCGTACGGGATGATGGATGGGAAACACTTCAGTAAATCTCCAGTTCGGTCAGTACGGCTGCCAGCAGTTTCCTACTTCCTTAACGTTGGCAGTGTACATGACAACTCCCGATCTGACAACCTGTTGCATCGTGATGGCGTTGACGAGGACCATTGAAGACTCAAGCGATTGCCAGCGAGGTAGCAAGGCCTGATTAGCCCCGCTTTGCACAGTGCGGATACATGTCGTCCAGTCGATTCGCGGGTTGTATCGGCGCAACCAATCACGTCCCAGTAAAATGTCGGCCCCATCCAGTGTTGTCACAAGCATCTCCTGTGTAAAACCGAAGTTAACCACCATCACATTTTCACCCTCTCCGCCTTTTCCCTTAGTGCCAATGGCGTGCCTTCGACCAGTCGTGCATTGATCTCATGTAAACAGCGGCTAAGTGTCAGTTGCTGAGAAGAAACAAGGAATGAATGAACTATGAATGAATTGAGTACAAGTAATAACCCTAATTGGGTTGTACCCCTTATGGGCTACCCCACTATAGCCTACACAATATGCATGAGCTATAATGTTCTGACACACCCCCATAGGCAAAGTGGGGGAGAACAAGGGGTCACAAGACCAGTCAAGTAAAGCAAAGCAAAGCAAGCTCAGGGTGGATCACAAAGTCACCACACATTCCGAGCACAAGTTCAAGGCCACAAGGCCAGTTCACATGCAGGAGTACATATATATAAAAAGGCTAGACAAGCAAGAGCAGGTGTATATATATATGTAACAGTACAAGCACGGTCAAGAGGTGAGCAAGTGAGGCAAGGTAGGCACAAGGCCCAGCTGAGTACAGAAGCGCTGATGGTCACAAGGCGCAAGCGCCTTGGTGAAGATATCAGCAGTGTTGGCCTCAGAGGCCACGTACGCAAGACGCAGCTGACCACGCTGCTGCAGCTCACGAGCAAGAAAGTAGCGGAGAGCAATGTGCTTCGTTCTGTGCTCCAGTCGCTGCTCCCGACACAAGGCCAGCATGGCCTTGTTGTCTACGTACAGCACTGGAGGAGAACGAGGCGGCTCTCCGAGGTCAGTCAGCAGGTTGGTGAGCCAGCGAAGCTCCTGTGCAGCCATGGCTCCTGCGTAGATCTCAGCCTCACAACTGGAGCCGAGAACAGAAGACGAGCGAGTAGCCCGCCACGAAACAGAGCCGGAACCAAGGCTGAAGGTGTAACCCTGTGACGACCGCTGCGTAGCCTGGTCGTCAGCCCAAGAAGCGTCTGCGTGCCCAGTAAGGACCACTGGACTCTGCCCTCCAAGCACAAGCCCCATGCCCGACGTACTGCACAAGTAGCGCAACACCCTCTTCGCTGCAGCCATGTGCTCCGGTCTGTGTCTCCCAGGAGCAACATAGCGTGCGAGAATGCTAAGAGGGTATGCAAGGTCAGGTCGTGTGCAGGTCATCAGGTACATGAGGCAGCCAACAAGCTCTGGGTACGGGCCACTCGACTCTACGGACTCATCCGAAGGCAGAGCTGAGAGCGAGTGGCGAGTAGGCAGAGGAGTGGCCTGAGGCGAGGAGTACGTGAAGCCGAAGCGCTGAAGGACCTGCTGCACCATGTGTGACTGAGTCAGGGTAATGGTGCGGCGTGCTCTGTCCCGAGTGATCTGCAAGCCAAGGTAGCTGCGCAGTTCACCCAGGTCAGTGCACGTGTGTCTCTTCTGCAGCTCGGACTTCACGTGGGCGAGTCCAGCAGTGTCAGCTGTGGCAAAGACCAAGTCGTCGACGTACACGAGGATGTAGAACGGCGGCAAAGAAGTGTCGGTGCGCAGAAACAGCGACGGGTCGGCAGTAGAGGGAGCAAACCCAAGAGCCGCAAGTGTAGTCCTCAGTGTGTCGTGCCACTCACGCGGTGCCTGGCGGAGACCGTAGACTGGCCGCCGTAGGCTCCACTGGGTGCCAGGAGGAAAAGACCCAGTGAAACCAGGTGGGCGACACAGCCAGATCTCCTCGTGCA